TTACATATTTTTCAAAGTCAATCACGGGTTCAGTGCTGTAAAAATATGTTCATTTATGAATTTCTATGCGTTGCTATTGGTCGTGGCATACCCCGGCCCCTGCCTCGCCTCGGGAGCGACCTGTCCCACGGCGAAAACTTTTGCCTGACACCTTAAGCCACGTACCCAAATACATTTTTCACCATAGAAAATCCCGCCAAATCGATGTATCGCTACCCGCATCTCCATTTGCCGGAACCCACTAGAATCGTCATCCACAGATAAGATATTAACATACATTGATCTCTACTACAAATTGTGTGGCACGCTATGTACCCTTACCCCCCTGGTTGATTCACCGCACTAACGTTTCTGATCCCTGGAACCTGTACAGGTCCCAGGGATCACAAACGTTAGTGCGGTGGATGCAAGATACATTTTCTTCTTTAGAAAACCAAGCCAAACTGATGTACCACCCAGGATCCACCGTACTAACGTTTGTGATCCCTGGGACCTGTAGACCTTTTAGACTTTTTGCCCTCTTCCGTGGGCCTTCATTGAATCCAGGCCTTCTGGTTGGGTGGACCTGCCCAGACACGTAACCGGTCACGTCCTATGCTAACTCATCGCCGATGCCACCCACCCACCCACTAGCATTGTTTCTTTCTCCTCTTTTGTTCCTTGCACCTGCATACCCAACCCTCCCACACCACCCACCACCACCACCACCACTCCAAACCAGGGCTTGTGTCCGCATGAGACGAGCGCTCAGCTCAAGGGTCGCATGCGCCATTGGCTGATGTCATCCACCACACCCCCGATCGGTCCGGTCCCTTGCCCTGGCACTTCGGTCCCAACACACCTCCTTCCCAAGTTCCCACCACCACCACCACCCCTGCAGGTCTTTTGCATTACCTACAACACACCACTTGGCTCTTCTCCCTCGCAGATACTCACCCCCGCCCAGGCGCCAAAAATCAGCGGGCGCAGGGGTTAGTAATGGGGATGACCTATAGCCGTGACCGTCGAGGCACAACGGGCTATGTTTTCCGGTTTAGGGGCATTTTGATGATGATGGACAATGGATACCATGCGAACCGCCTCGGCGAGGGCGAGGATTCTTTTTTTCTTTGCTCGTGCCCAACTGCTATTGCGGTTTCCTTGCTGGGTAATTGCCCGAAATCCACTGCGGATTTCGGATTTGGGGACTTGTCGAGCATGTGCTGTGAAATTGAGAGTGAAGGGATTGACTCGGCCACGGCAGAGTGGACAATGGAATCATTGATCCCCACCACGGCGGTCAAAATTCGCCGCCACCAAAATCGACATCGAACACTTTACAAAGATTGCGCCAAACCCGTCAAATGTTACTAGGAGACCGTTCCAAATCAACGATAGCCGAAAGCGGGTACAGTACCAACGTCCCGATAAGCTCTGAGGCAAAGTCAAGGGGTAATACAACGTGCATCCACGCTCGCGGGAAAAGAGCCGCCAACAGAGGAGAGGAGAGGTCATCACCGTATGGAAATAAATGCAAAACGGTTCAAGTCTCGTGTGCTAGGTAGCATGGTACGGTGCTGCGGCCGACGGGCGGCCCCCACGCCCATGACCCATCCTGAAGAGGACATCTATCTGCTTCGTCTCTGTTGCCGGACTTTGCCGCCCCAGTCCGAGGCGACGGCCGTGGGGTTTCGGCGAGGGAGATGATTGTCCGGCCCTTCTTCCCCCCCTCACTCCCCTCCCTTTCTTTTTCCTCCCTTCTTCTGCCGCGGTGATCCGCCTCGGCCTGCATGATAGAGTGGGCCCCTGGGCACGCGCTGGTGGACGATGCTAGTTGCTGCCGGAGCCCGACTGGGATTTGCCTGCCTCCGAATCTGCAGCAAAAGATGGCCTGGTCGTGTGGCTCCCGGCTGGGTCTTTTTTTTTTTGACTGACTAGGTTGGAGGGTGTTGTGTGGGTTCCAACAGTCGTGTGTGTGTGCGTCCATGAGGGGCATGGAAAAGGTTCACTTTTTTTTTTACTCTTTTTTTTTTCTTTGAGTTCATGCCCAGCCAACAGGCCTGTTTTCTCCCAGCCCACCACCACCATAACCGCCACCATAACCACCGGCGGTCTGGCCATCAGGCGATCCTGACCGCCAAAAGACGAAGCAGCAGAAGAGGGGAGCAGTACCAGAGACGCCAGCCACCCTCGTCTGCGTCCCTCACCCTCGACATCAACTCTCTCTCACACTCTTCCGCCATCTCCTCTCCTTCTCCTCCTCTGGCCCCGGGGCATACCCCTCTCCCAACCCCACACACTTACACACACAGACTCTCTCTCTCTCTCACTCTCACACACACCCAATCCACAGCCATGACGGCCCCGCCGGTCCCCTCCCAGGGCGGCGTCTACGCGTCCGTGTACACGCCGTCCTTCCTGTCCATGATCTACGACTACCTCGTGCTGCGCTTCAACATGCGCTACATGTGGGGCTGCCCCACCGACGAGGTGCTCCTCCCCTTCTTCGCCGAGGGCATGTCGCGCCGCCACCTCGACGTCGGCGTCGCCACGGGCTTCCTGCCGGCCGCGGCCCTGTCGCGCGTCTTCCGCAAGACGGCGGCGCAGCACCTGACCCTGCTCGACATCAACCCCAACCCGCTCGTGGCCGCCGCCGCCCGCATCCGCGCCGTCGCGGGCGCCCGCACCGACGTCCGCACCGTCGAGGCAGACGTCACGGCGCCGCTGCCGGCGCCGCTGCTCGAGATGGCCGAGGGGAGCAGCAGCAGCAGCAGCAGCGGCGTCCTCGTCAAGCACCACCACACCGACAGCCCCAACACAAACAGCAGCAGCCCGCTGCTGTACGACAGCATCAGCATGTTCAACCTCTTCCACTGCGTGCCCGGCTGGCCGTCCAAGCTGGTGGCGCTGCGGACGTACAAGTGCGTGCTGGAGCCGACGCGCGGCGTGCTCTACGGCTGCACCGTGCTGGGCGAGAGGGCCGCAACGGGCTGGCTGAGCCGCTGGTACGTGCGCCTGTACAACCGCTTGGGCGTGTTCAACAACCTGCACGACGACCGGGAGGGGTTCGAGCTCGCCCTGGGGAGGGAGTTTGAGGAGTTCGAGACGTGGGTCGTCGGCATGACGCTGCTGTTTCGCGCCACCAGGCCGCGCCTGGTCGACGTCGAGGACGTCGAGGAGGTCGTGGCCAAGGACGAGGCCGAGAGTGAGGAGGCGGATAGTGACGAGGAGGAGGGCGATGACGAGTGAATCCGGCGGGGTGTATTCCCGGTCAGGGTAGAACATGACATTGATTTTGAATCTCACGCCCGAGTAGATGAACAACACCCAAGCCCATCACGGCAAGTTGTGTGTTTTTATTGGCCGTGCTAGGAGGGTTGTGGCTTATAGCACACACGCCCGGCCAATAGTATCTCTAGATCTCGCGTTGCAGAGCACAAGAAGTCGCGTAACACAACATGAAGTTCGCGTGGCCAGAAGCACAAGGCTCCAACATGCAACAGTGTGTGTTACATTGCATGCGGCGTAGTTCCTTTCTGCTCCTCCCATCCACTTGGCACAGCAACCCTCACTTTCGGGTAAATGAGCTGTTACACTCTCGGACCAACGTGACCATGTGCCCGCATATTCGCCCATCCGCAAGCACTGTGGTAGTAACATACATATACACTTGGCTCGACAACCCTAAAACGACCCAGCCGACTTCCTCCGCGACTCCATCCTCTCCAAGTCGGCCAGGAACCTCCACCGCCTCCGCAGCGCCTTGTCGCCGCCATGTTTGCCCGCCAGCCTCCACCGCGCCCCTTCCTCGCCGCGCACCAGGGCGTCCTGGAGGTCGCGGTCGTCGGCCGTGGTCCAGACGCCGCGCTTGTCGGGCGGCACCGCCACCTCGAGCTGCCTCCGGCGCGCCTCGGACCCGCCGGCGGCCGCGGCCGCGGCCGCGGCCCGGGCCCTGTTCTCGTCGATGACCTGGTTCAGGAGCGGGATGGAGAGGCACGTGGCCATCAGCAGGTCCGTGATGGGCCGCCGCGCGTACCCCAGCGACACCCACCGGTCCACCTCGCTGCCGATGCTGGGCTGGGGAGGGGCCGCCGCGCGGCGCCCTTCCGACCCGCGTCTTTCGGCCGGCGGCTGCACGGTCCGCGAAGCAGCTGGCTTTGCCGGCTTGCCCACCAGCCCATCCACTATGCTGGCCACTACCGAGTCTTCGCCGCCGCCGACACCCAAAGCTGGTCCGGATGCTCGTGCCGAACCCTGGGGCCTTTGTGATCTCCTGAAAGCTGGGGGGGACAACGACTCTGATGACGCTGGCCGGCCAGGCGGGGAGTTGGCCGCAAGGCCGGCATGAGTGGCGCGCCGTGGCTGGGTCCCAAAGGCATATGTCCGTTTCGGCGGGCGAGCCGGCGTGGGCGGCGGCGCGTCAGACTCTGACGAGGACGGCACCACGACCTTGGGCGCTTCCGTTGACGGCCTGACAGAATCCATCGAGCGCCTCTGTCTGGGCGGAGCCGGTAGTGTGCGCTTGCCCGTCGGCATCTGCAGTGCCGACTTTGGGGCGACATGACAGCGGCGCCGAGGGGGCGACACGCTCGGCTCTCTGCGTTCGGGTCGTTTCCCAAGAGTTTTCTCGCTCGGCCCGTGGCGGGGCTTCGGCGTCGACGCGTCGGCGGGCTCCTCGTCGAGATGCGACCTTCTTAGCGCCCTTGTACGCGGAGGCCTGGCGTCTTCGGCAACAGCAGCGAGCAGTAGCGGAACGGGTGTGACGGGGTATTCGTCCTCCTCCGACCTGAGCTGCTGCGATGGCGAGACATCGAGCCCGTCCGGAGCGAGTCCCACCTCGTCGGTGTGCACGTCTTGTGTTTGGGAAAGCCTTCCCTGTGTTGCGGCATCGAGCTTCCAGTCTTGTGTTTCGGGCTCGACGGGCTTCTTTCGGGTCGGAAGGGTGGGTGATGTCGTTAAAAAAGCCATGTGCCGAGCCGGGGGGCTGCTGTCTAGTATTTCTTGCCGTTTCAGGGGCGGCGGTCGTGCGTGAGAAACCTGGGGCGTATCGGGTATCTCGAGGTCGGCCTTCCTGCGAGCCCGTTTACGAGGAGTTCCGCTCAAGAGGCTGAGGTCCGAGTGGAAGGCCTGCTCGTGACGCCGCTTCGGTGCAGCCGCCGCGGAGAGTGACGACGCCGGCCGAGGTTGCTCGTCCATCTCCTTGGTTGCCTCATCCTCTTGCTCGGTTGCCTCATCCTCCTCTTCCGTCCCCTCGTCTTCCTCCTCCATTCCCTCATCCTCTTCCTTAGTTCCCTTAAGCACCTCTTCAATTCCCTCATCTTCCTCCTCCGTTCCCTCACCATCTTGTGATTCCCCCGGCTCGCCTTGTTCAGTCTGATGCTCCCTCGCTGTTTCCATCCCTGCATCCTCGCTCTCAAGATCTGAACTGCTCGCCCCGTCCGCTTCGTCGTCAGGCTGCCACCTGCTCATGGCGTAGTCGGCTACTCCGACAAAGTGTTCGAGGTTGCGCTGGAAGCACTCGGACACCTTCCCGCAGACCTCGGGGTCCTTGGTGGTGTCGAAGCCGAGGGACGCAGCGACCTGGGCCCAATCACACCGGTCCAGCGGCAGATTCTGTGACCGGAAGGCGCGATAAAGATCCCAGACCGATATCTCTTCGCCGCGGATGATTGGCGCTGGATCGATGGCATCGGGGTACTCGGCCTCATACTCTATGATCAATTTCTCAAACCTATTGAGCTGATCTTCTTGGGCCTCTCCATCTTCGTCTTCTTCATCTATCTCGATCTCTTCGTCGCTGCCGACTTCCTCATCGCAGTCTGGTTCGTACTCACGGCTGGCCCCGGCACTGGACTTCACCGCTTGATCATCCTCCCCCTCATAGTCTCCATCCTCGTCCGCTTCTGGGCTCGAGTGCCGAGGCCGAATCAGCGCTTGCGCCGAGCTGTGGGAAGCCTGACCACCGGGTGATCTAGGCGCTGGAGCATTACGTTCTGGAGCAGCAGGAGGTTGAGCCGGCGTCGGTGAGGGCGGGGTATGGCCGACCTTGTTGGACACTTGGAGTTTGGGTGGAGGAGTCTTGGTCTTCTGGGGCTGTGGTGAGGGGTTTGAGGCATGGGGACGGGGTGTGTTTCCAGCAGGGGCCGTTTCGGCAACAGTGGCTGGCGATCTATTCGAAGCAGCCTCAAGTCTTGGGGCGAGTACAAGTTTGTATCGGGCTCGCCAGCTCCGCGCCGAGTGGGTAGGGTTCTGTAATGAAGGTTAGCGGGGCAATTAGGATGTCAGACGCAAAAGCACATACCTCTTTGGCGAAGGCCTCGTACAAGAGGTTTCCGTACAAGTATATCCTTTTGCCTTCTGCCTTGCTCCTACGGATCGTCTCTTCGATCATTTGGAGAAGGCGGTCGTCCTCGTCAGGACTGAACTGGCTGCGCGGCTTCGGGGCCGACAGTTCAGGACTTGGCGCCTCTTGAGCCAATGAGGACGGCCCAGACGGCCTCTGTGGCTGCACAGTAGGAGGCTTTACGGCACTAGATTCTGCATGCGCGTTTTTATGTCGGGGCCCCTGGATTGCCTCTCGCACGTCGTCTTCGTCTTCGTCCTCCCAATCTTGCCGTATCGGCACATTATTGCCAGCGACAAGAGAGAGTCTCTTGACCCATCGATCTTTCCAAGACTGCCACGTGTGTCGTGGATTCTTCAATACAGTTCATGTCAGTCCCGTGTCTTGGAGCAAAGATATGAGGGGACCATACCGTCTTGGCAAATTCCTCGTAAATGCCGTTGGCCTTGGCTCTGTCCAGGCGGCGGCGGACATACTGGGTCAGGACCTGGTCGTCCTCTGGCGTGTAGGCAGTGCGGGTGGTCTTCACAGAAGCGCCGGCCGAGGGACCTGCCGCGTTGGGATTCGTCGCAGCTGGCCGCTGGATGACGAAGGCCTCCTTGTCTGGAAGCTCGCCCCGCTTGATGGCCTCGTCGACGAACTTCCAAGAGTACGAGTTCGGAGGAGCGTGCTTGGGCCTTGCGTCATCGGCGATCAACATGTCGGCCATGCGCTCAAGTATGACGACCTCGCCGCCATTATTCTGTGAGTGAGTGATTGTCAGTGAGGACCCGACTATGGTAGCTGTCTCTGGGCTGAGGCGGGATGGGACTTGCTTGTATCTTTGCTATCCAGTCGTTTCGCATTGGCACTCTGAGGGCAAGCCAAAACTTGATGCCGGCGAACAGTAACGCTTCGGAACTGCCGCCGGCGACGTTGTCGTAGGTGATGGGGACAGGCATGGTGATGGTGGGTGTTTAACCCTAACCCTTGCCTGTTCGCGACGCAGGTAGGCCGGATGGCAAATCAAGCCAAGGTCCAGGGAGCCCCTTCGATTTTGAATTGGGAAATTGGGTGTTCGATTCCCCGTGTTCCTCTGACGGGGAGAGAAAAGAGCAGATGGGCAGTCAAATGTCCTTTCCTTGCTGGCGAAAAGCGAAAAGCAAAGTCGAAACGCTCAGTTGAAGATTGGAAGACGCGCGACATGCGACATGCAGCGCGTCTGGTGGGGTGGCACTTTAGTTGCTGGAACCGGGTTGGTCAGGCGCTCACAGCAGCAACACGAAATCGAATGGGTTCCAACGACGGTGGTTGAAGGACAGTGAATGCAAAGCAACCGCAGCCTGCCTCCATTTCGACAGCGAACTGCAGCCCTCACATTTAAAAAGCCATCACAGCCCGGGGAAGTCGCTAGGCGCTGCGTCGGTGAGCTGCCACGCTGCACACCTGCCCTCTCGAAGCGATGACGCGTGACGGAACCTTGTGAATCTGAATTCGTCCCACGGTGACCATGGGACAGAAGCACAGAAGCACAGAAGCCACGCTGAACTCGCTTTGGTGCATTCGAGTCGGGCAAAATGCATCTAGCGGGGCAGAGTCTCAACCACGCAAGTAATGTGGAGTCTCAGCGGGCCGTTTCCAGATGCCTCAGCTGGCCTCACTGGTGGAGGCAGCCAGTGGCGTCAGCACTGGGCGCCCCCCAAATATACAAAGAAAGAACATCAGCAACTTGCCGACTTTCACCATCCTCTCGAAACACGCGGGCCCATGACTCCCACGATGCAGGCCTCTTGATCGCGCTCCCACACAGCTGATCTGGTGACTTTTGCCTCCTGCACGGCCCTGCAAGGGGGGGCCTGCGACGGCACACGTGTACTGTGCTGTACCTACCCGAGGCAGATAGTTGAGCGCCCCACGTCGCTTCATCCACGAGGCTTGAGCTGACGGCGCTGAGCCGCCTGACAGGTCCGCCCTGGCGCCCGCCTATACGTAACCCGGCTCCTCGGGCCCACGGCTGGCCTGCCCTGTCTCACACTTCCGTCATCGCCGGGCCTGTCACATCACCACCATCCACCATCCATCTGGTCACACTAGTGCAGGTCCCTCCTTCCCAGTGTGACATGATGGGCACCGTCGCAAGGATCGCCGCCGTGGTCCTGGCCATCTCGTTCATGACCTTTGTCGCCTTCTTCGGCCGTCTGCCCGCGCTGAGGAACACGCCCATCGCATGGCTGCACCGCGCAATATGGGTCCACTTTCCCAACGCCGTCCTGGCCGTCGACCGGAAGCTCACGGGCGGGCGCTTCACCGAGTCGCTGGTGCGCTTCGGCCGCTTCATGATGCACGATAGACACCCCACCGTCATGGTACGTGGCCTTTTTTTTTGTGTTCATCTCATGGTGGTACCCCCTAACCAACCTCGGGCAGATATTCTTCTTCGTCCTCCTGGCCGCGTCCGAGGCCGTGGCGCTGCCCTACGCCTGGCCGCAGCTCACGACGGCGCAGCAGGCCACCACGGTCGTCACCGTGGCGCTCCCTTACCTCTTCCTCTACCTGTGCGCGGCGGTGGACCCGGGCTACGTGACGGCCGAGACGCACCGGCGGCACATGTCGGCGTACCCCTACGACTTCACCCTCTTCCACCCGGGCCAGGCCTGCCGCACGTGCGGGCTACTCAAGCCGCCGCGCAGCAAGCACTGCTCCGTCTGCAAGCGCTGCGTCGCGCGCATGGACCACCACTGCATCTTCATCAACGGCTGCGTCGGCGCCGGCAACGTGCACTGGTTCCTGCTGCTGCTACTGTCCACGGCCGTCCTGACCCTCTGGGGCGGCACCCTGGCGCTCTCGCTCGTCGCCCGCCGCATCCGCGGGCGCGTGCCGGACTTTTCGCTCCTGTGGTGGCGGAGCGGCGGCGGCGGCGGAACCGGCGGGATGGACCTCGCGACCTACTTCGTCCTCTGGGCCTGGGCCATCCAGCAGCAGGTCGAGCTCGGCGCCGTCGGCCTGCTCGCCACGCTCTGCAGCCCGCTCGTCTGGGGCCTGCTGGCCTACAACCTCTGGAACGTCTGGTGCGGCGTCACCACAAACGAGTCGCTCAAGTGGTCCGACCTCGGCGAGGACATGGCCGACGGCCTGGCCTTCAAGCGGCCCGTCCCGCCGGGCCGCCTGCGCGACCTCCGCTTCGAGGCCGCCTGGACGCCCTGGCCCGTCGAGCCCCAGCAGGTGGTGATACGCTCCGGCGACGGGAACCCGCCCCCGGTCGAGGGGGGCGGCTTCCCGGGCCGCGGCGAGTGGGAGCAGGTCTGGAAGCTCAAGGATGTCGAGAACCTATACGATCTCGGCTTCTGGGACAACCTGCGCGACGTCTTTGGGCCCGCGCGCACAGACCACGAGAGGGACGTGATAGTGCCCGCCCGGGACGAGGGGAGGGCCAAGAGGCGGCGCGTGAGGTGAGCGGTGACGGCGGGGAGGGGTGCATCAAGCGACTATACGATCGAGATGGATGTATATAAAGTGAGGGTTGGTAACGTGACCGATTCCATGGTCTAAAGGAGTCGGAGCTGCCAGGCTCGCAGACGGACGGCCTACTGCTTACTATATACGACTGTTGGAAAAACAACCATAAACAAGTTATAGACTCTAGCGAGGTATAGAGCGAGGAGATGGTTACATTGCACAGAAGACATATAGAGATATTGGTTTTTTTTTTTTGGCTGCCTCAGATGGCATTACAGTAAACCGGTCTCACTTCACCACAGCGAGGCGTGTTTGTACAGTGTTACATGTTTATACATTGATTGTCCGCGACTAGTAGGGCAGAGCATAAGTACTAAAAACTCGCGTGTCGGGCATTCTGCGCCCCAGACTTGCGCTTGCCGCCGGCCCTCGCGGAAAAGACACTCGCGAACGGGTCGGCGGGCGCGGCGGGCTTGGATGAAGCGCCGCCGCGCTTCTTTGGCGCATTCTTCCCGTTGCTCTTCCCGTTGCTCTTCCCGCTGCTCTTCCCGTTGTTCTTCCCCTTTTGCCTGTCCCTCACCTTGTCCCAGTAGCTGCGGGCCCGCGAGGGGTTCTTGTTTTTCCCCACGCCGGCCGCCCCGCTGCTGCGCATCGTCGCGTCCGGCCGGAAGCCCAGGTCCTGCTCGGGCTCCTCGCCCAGGAACAGCTGCGGCTGCTGTTGCCGTCGCGGCGAACCGCCTTTCCGTGCGCCGCCGCCTCTGGACGCTGCCGCCGAGCGGGCGAGCGTCGCTGCGAACATGTCAAAGTCGTCGGGCTGCGAGGCTGCCGGCGGGGCGGCGGCGGCAGCAGCGGCGGGCCTGCTGCGTTCTGGGGCGAACTGGATGTCGTCAAACGACACGATCTTGGAGGCCGCCGCCGTCGTCGTCATCGCGGACATCGGGAGGGCCTCGGCGGGGACGTCCTCCAACAGGCCCGCCAGGCGGCCGATGAGCAGCCTCACGCCCGAGACGCCCAACCCGACCGGCCCGCCTGCGGACGAGACGAACACCTCGCGGACCCAGCCCTTGTCCTGGCCCTCGGCCCAGTCCGGGCCGGGCCGGCGCTCGGCGGCGCGCAGCTCGTCCCAGACGTCGACGCACAGGCCCGCGGCCGCGTCGGCGCTGGCGCCGCTGGCGTCGGCGCCCATGATCTTGTCGCCCTTTGTCAGGACCACGGCGACGCGCACGCCGGCGCGGCGCAGCAGCGACAGCGCGAGGCGGTCGCCGTCCTTGACGCCCGCGACCGAGTCGATGAGCAGCACGGCGCCGCGCAGCATGCGCCGCCGGTTCAGGTACTTTACGATCTCGTCGCCCCACCCTTCGCGCGAGTTGAGCCCGTACCCGGGCGTGTCCATGAGGTAGAGCTGGTGGCGGTGGACGGGCTCGGCCTCCCGCGTCCGCGTTTTGGTGTCCCGTCGCTGCTCGCCGCGCGACCGCCCGCCCTCCTTGCCCGGCTCTTCCCCGCCGTCGCTGCCCTCGTCCGGCCTGCGCGGCGGCGGCGGGCCGAATCCGTACGCGTTGAGCGTCTGCGTGCAGCCGGCCGAGGAACTCGTGATGGCCAGGGCCGGGATGGCGCCGCCCGACGCCGCGGCTGACAGGTCGGCCTGCTTGGCGAGGGCCTTTGTGACCCTGCCGGCGCGGGCCGAGGTCATACCGGCGAGGGCGTTGATGAGTGTCGACTTGCCGACGTTGGATCGCCCGACGAGGCAGACTTCGGGCACGGCCGTGTTGCGCGGCAGGTTCAGGAAGCGCGAGACCGAGTAGAGCAGCTCGGGCCGGTGCTGCGGGCGCCGCGGGTCCGGCAGGAAGAGCGCATCGGCGGCCCCGAGGGCGGGCGCCGGCAGCTCGCGGGTCCGCAGCGCCCGCGGCGCCGTGGGGATGTTGGAGGGGCCAGGGAGGAACGAGACGGCGCGCGCAGCCGTCTGGGTGGCCCTGGCTCGGCTCATGCTCGTCGTGGTGGTGGGGGTGGTGGTGATGCTCCCCGTCGATGAGACTGGGGCGCTACCTGTAGGATTTCGGGGGCATGGGAGGCCGAGTTGTTGCCTCCTTGACCCATTAGTATAATAAAAAAAAAGTCTTGTCAGCCGCCGGCGCCGTCTTCAAGGTCGAAAAACTGAAAGCCCACGAGTTGTAAAAATTGCCCCTTATCGATTGGCCAAGCCCGCATCATAGGCCGGCCCGCTTCGCACCCGATAAGATAAGGATTTCAGATCTTCCATTTTCGTGCCCCCC